TAACCCCCAAAACTTTTAGCATAAATACTGTCTGCACAATCCAAACATCACTCAGTTCATTCTATTAACTTCAGTGTCTAGTATCTCAACAGAACACAAACACACTCACAAAAATGGCCGCTAAGGTAAGAAACATAATAATACTGACAGGACGCGTTGCAATTATTTAAAATAATATTGCAATCTTGTATTCGGTTCTAAGATAAAAATGTTTGTACGATTTCATATTGTCGATTAGTTTGGATATGAAGTTTCAATTTTTACGTCAACTTAACTTTATTGCAACACGAATACTTTTATGACTAAAAACTAATATTTCATTWATTTGTATTCATAATATTGTGATAAGTCTTTTCATTTCCAATCTAACTTAATTTAAAGCATGTCATTTATTATATTGTTTACTTTGAAGTTCACATATTAACCATATATATATAGACTTTACACGATTAATGGATAATATTGTCATTTCTCATAAATAATTCAACTTTTGTCTTTTGTTCCAGTTGATCATCGTCGCTGTTTGCGTGGCTTCTGCCTTCGCTCAATACTCTGCCCCAGCCTACAAGCCCGCTTACTCGGCGCCCGCTTACTCGGCACCCGCTTACCCGGCACCAAAGGCTTACGCCCCAGAACCCGCCTACGCACCAGCCCCATACAACTTCGAGTACAGCGTAAACGACCCACACACCTACGACGTCAAGAGCCAATCCGAATACAGCGACGGCAACGGTTACGTCAAGGGATCGTACAGCCTCTTGGAAGCCGACGGTTCCACCCGCACCGTCGAGTACACCGCCGACGACTACAACGGATTCAACGCCGTCGTCAAGAACGAAGGTGGCTACAAGGCCCCGTCTTACTCTGCCCCGGCTTACTCCGCACCAGCCTACAAGCCTGCCTACTCCGCACCAGCCTACTCCGCACCAGCCTACAAGCCAGCCTACTCCGCACCAGCCTACGCCGCCCCATCTTACTCGGCCCCGGCCTACAAGCCAGCTTACAAGCCAGCATACTAATAACTTCTCTGGTCGTGCGAACACCAACTCTCTTCTTTTTTTCCCATGTTTTCTTCGCGTACCTCGGGACCATCGCGTTCATATTGAACCGTGGTTTCAAAGTCATACCATGCCATATTAATATAATATTAGACAATGGGTACGACTAATGTATTTATTGTGTAAATATATATATCAATGTGTATTTATTGAACATCACTGTGTTTTTTTTTTATTATCGTCTGTCCTTATCTCCCGGCGGTTGATAGGATAGTGTTTGAATACTATACACTTTAACCAATAGTATAGAAAGGTCTGAAAACCATTTTTATAAAATGTGCGATCAAACTTAGGCACTTTGCTGCTCACATTTATCTATATATAGTGTTTAATAGATAAACGCGTTGTAACCTGAAACCATAAGACATTGGTAAGTTTATTGATGTTATGTTATATGACATTTTTTATGATCACGCGAAAACCAAACTTTTTATCTACCATAGTAGAAAAAAAAATTAATTAAATTTGCCAGTACCTCATTAATAGTAAAAAGAACTTAAATGAAACGGATAGCGTTGATTGGAGTATAAATTGTATTTTAAATGCACGATAGTTTGTAAAGTTTGTATATAGTTGTAGTACCTACATAGTTGAAGTTGCCGCACAGTTTGTGTTTTTTAAATACATTTTACGGAGAAGAAAAATATTTGAAAAGTTACACAAGAAGCGTAAATATAATATTTCATGTCATATATATATATATTTTTAAATTAAAAACACAACAACGACAAATTATAAATGTATCTATTATTATTATTAATTATTCAATACTATATTAATACGAGAACGTTAGATTTTAAATTAAATGGAGTTGGTTCCTAAAAAGTTATGAATAAGTGGTAGAACACCTGCTATGTTTATAGCATATTCTATTTCTAAATACACATAACATTTTTACTTTATAGATATTCATTAATATTTTTATTATAAATTGCAGCCTGCTAAATAGACACTGTTAGAAAATATTAGTTTAATTTTATTTTAAAGTTTTATAAAATAATCTTCTAAATGTTATAGTATTTTATTATTTTGGAATTAAAAATTATTTTTGCATAGCAACATCATTATAGKCTATATTTTTATCTTAAATAGTCAAAGTAAGAGTAGTGTAACACGATTGATCAGTACCTAGATTACACTTTGTACACCGTATACAGTTAATAGGATTATAATGAAAAATAATATTTGGTACTTAAATTTAGGAGGATGTCATTGTTTGTTTTCTCTCTCTAGCTCATGAACCACATAGACAAAACGTGATTAATCAAAATTAGTTTTGTTTCACTTTTGAGTAACCCAAGATTAATACCATGACAACAAGTATATAGAATAACATTTTCGAAGATATTACCTACATATTGGCTTGTTTAAACATTGTTTCTGAATAAAAATGTATTTTAATTTTTTTAAGTTGAATATAAATCCATACGTATACCTAATAATAAAAGATATAACCGATTTTTCGAACCTTCRAAAATGTTAACTTCTATAATTTTTAATTAGATAATTTTACTCATTATTATTACTAAAAGTTATATATATAAGAAAAAACGATTTTACATGTATCTGTTTTAACTGTGTTGCACTCATGTGTCTGAGAAAGAAAACAAATATGCGCTGCTTTCCTCTCGATCAATTTATGATTTTATCTGTCACAACCGTTATGTTTCTGTTAAATTTAAGTTGATACGAGATCGGAGATACCTATAAGCATAATATTATATAAAGTTTGTAATGCACAATTTTCTGATCCAGATACTGGTTTATTATTGATATTTCGTGAACAGATTTCAGCCAKTCCAGCATAAATTCCGTCTTAACTAATTCCATAAGTGATTACACTAATTCGCCCACACTAACCTATTTAGTAATATTATATAGGTACCTATTATAATACACATACGCATATCGTTAATATTATTACTTAATGACTAACGCTTGAATTATATTATATTATGTTATGATTATTTGATATCCATTCATCGTCATCAAGCTAATGTGCATTAATATTACACAATAGCAAATTCTACAAGCGCTGCACATTACACTCGTTTGATCACTCTGAGGTCATATTATTATGTCTCGGACAGTCTATTTGTCTTATAATATTATATATTTGCTGGTCYGGTCGGTAGCTGGATCGCGGTGAACTGTAATTTCAAAGAAAATTAAAAAAAATAAATAACGGTCAAATATGATTGACGTCCAACCGGTATATAATAATACTTAAATGGGGCGTAAACGGTATAATATAATGTCATTATATATACATTATCGGTTGTAGTCGATACGATAAACTATATATTATATTATATTATGTTGCTCGCATTACACTGCTGCTGCAGTCACCGCACAAACGCATGTCTGTAACACGTTAGTAAGTTGTTACACTTTTTTCCCCCGCTGTGTAACTCATAATATGTGTTAATATTATATTTGTGTACAATTTTTTTTAAAATTCATATCACGCGTGTATGGCGCGGTGAAGGTACGTMCTATGTACAACTGCTGTTCTTAAAATTTAATTAACAGGCGTAAAAAAGTACATCGCCTCGAGTGACGATATTACGGGGCGTGAACCGTACCATAAAACACAYGAAGGTGTAACAGCAATCTGTAACAATATTGTATCGTTGACAACAATTTATTTTGCGTAAAAAATAGGTCTGCAAGCTCTAAATTTATTGAGATCGTATGATGAAAAAATAATAATTATAGTTTTATGACCGTTATATCATATATTTGACGTTTTTGTTTCATGTAAAATCGTCGTAATTAATCATTATGCTTATGACGTCAAAATGCAATTTACGTACGATTGCACAATAATATAATATGATAGTATTTCAATACGAATAAGTACCTATTAAATTATTGAAAGTTATTATAGCTTGTATAAATTATGTTTGTAAAATAATCTTTACAACATTTATATTGTTGATCATGACAATGTATACGTCTTATTGCGAACAGAAATCTTAAACGAAAAACTTTTCCAAATGTTAGTATTTTCATTACAGAAATAATTAAAATAATATACTATTTTATGTATGGAAARATACGACTMAAAAGTCAGAAAAAAATTTAATAATACAACTAATAAGCAGGTACAGGCACTGGTCATCTAAATTATTACCATGCAAGTAAATTAAAATAATCAGTTATTATAATGCTCGACGCATTTTGCATATCTACTGATTAAATTGTAGGCAGACGTCTAGATAAATATTATTTACTTAAATTATTGAAATGAATACACCTAAATTTGTGAATTAATTGAATTTACTTATATGTTTTTACGAGTACGATACAAGATATTATATTTGTATGCAAATTTGCGCTGATTGAGCTATGTAAATTCTCATCATATTTTTTTGTCAAAGAACGATAACAAGAAAAATTTCAATATTGCATAATAGATTTATAATTTATAATGCCTTATCGTCTAACTGTATAGGAGTCATAAATTTTAAACGAACGTTTCAAAAATATTCCGTTTTATTAGTTTCCACCTGTTTTTGACTATGGAATCTCTATTTACGATTCAATGTCATTAGATAATGCTACCATCGATAAAACRACATGAGTCATTATTTCATATCATTAATGYGAATGCTCTTAATAGATGACTTTTAGAAATAATCCTTCTAATACAGATTTTTCTTTCTATCTATCACTATAATAGTGTACATTTTTTTTTTACGAACACAAATATTAAGTAGGTAAAAATCTATTGAGATGGAACTAATTAGCCWRAACACAAAWAYCTGAAATATAAAGTGCATTGCTGCTATCATGCTTGTATTAAACTGAATTATCATCCTATGCACTTTGGTAAAAGCATTTGTAAAAATGATATTGAAATCTTAAAAGCACCTACTTTGGTGTGCTTACTAAGTAAACACATTAATAATATTTACAAGTCATAGGCATAACAATGTTTAGAACATAGGCGTGCGCAGGCCTCTTTTTCAGGATATGCAGAAGGCTGACAATAGCACGCCCTGAAAGTTATTTTAGGCTCGTAAAATTTTGATTAATATGTATACACAATTCACAAATATTGAAAAAACCTACTGTTTAATTAAAAAAATATTGTAATAAATACCATTACATAATACAAGAAGTATGTATTTCGCAAATACTTGGTAGTTGATAACTGATAACTGGATGTTTCAATTTTTCAGAGTCGATGTTCGCCCCTCACAGAACTTCAGGGTATACAGCTGCATACCTGCATACCCCCTGCGCACGCCTATGGTTTAGAATGRGAAAAGGCTCAATGCATTACATCATAAAATGTTTTATTTTATTCTGTGTTTTTAGATCAGATTACTTAATTTTACCAATATTTATAAGAAATATAAACGTATGTAATATTATATTATGTACCTAACAAAAATTACCTTTATGGTACGACCGGTTCGTGCGTACGTGGAGAAATAAAAGACTGGAGGGACAAGACAATGTGTGAGCATTCGACATAAATACAGAGACGTTGGAGACACGACCATTTATCAGTTGACAGTTCTCGTGATAATTGTCCACGTAGGTACATCTTAAGTCTACTAGCACAAACACGCAGTACAAACAAATTGCAATGGCTGTCAAGGTATAGTAAAAACCGAAAACAATTTACTTTTATAAAAATGTCCATCTAGGATTATTATTCGTTATTTACATATTCGTTTTAAATATGTATTATATCGGCATGTTTTGTCAGATTATCGTATTACAAATAATTTATAAGAATAAACGACCAATGGTATGCCCAGTAGAATAGAGTAAAAAATTGGACTTAAACGTTGTCCAGGTTATTTTTTATAACGTCATAACAGCCGTCGTGACTKACATCGAAAGTTAACGGAGTTTTTATTTCAGCTGGTCGTTTTCGCCACCTGCTTATCGTCCGCCCTGGCCCAATACGCCGTGCCGGCTTACCCGGCGGCTGCGGTGCCCGCCGCTTACCCCGTGGCACCCGCAAAGGCTTACGTGCCGGTGGAACCCACAAACGCGCCGACGCCGAAAACAGCGTGAACGACCCACACACCTAATAGGACGTCAAAAGCCAAGCCGAGTCCAACGATGGCAACGGTAACGTAAAAGGGTTCTACAGCCTTTTGGAGGCCGATGGTTCCACGCRCACCGTCGAGTACACCGCCGCGGACGACTGCAACGGGTTCAATGCCGTCGYCAAGAAGGAAGGCGGTTACACTTCCGCCGCTCACAAACCTGCGGCAGCAGCCCCCCATACGAGCCATACTGAGAGTGAGAGTGAGACCGAATCGCCACACGACCTTCGTCCTCGACTAATCCACGTGCCACGCGCGTTTCCGGCCGCGTCGCTGCTGACACATATTCAGTCATTATAATATTGTATATTATATTCTAATAGTCCATCGAATATTATTCTAAACGTCCTGCAGCTCTATATATTATATATTATTATATTATTATAAAATTGCTGTCCACGTACCTAGTCATATAGTTATAGGTCATTAGAGCGGTTCGTACACTTTAAGATTATTATTATTATTAGTTACCTTGTAAATAATTATATGCTGCGATTTATCTGAAACCAATTTATATTTGATATATTTATTCGTGTGTTATTCGTTTATCCACTACAGTTCGTCATGATACATTGTTATTATTATTAAAATATTGATACAATAATATAATATAATATTATGACTGGAAATAAAGGTATTTGGTTTTCGTTTTTGCTATAACACATTATATGTTGAAATCAAAAATAGTTGTCAACATCGATTGATCAAATTGTAAATTTTATTTTGGAAGAAAAAGATGTATTCACAAAAATATGTGCCATACATTCTATCTTACATTAATTATCTACGCATTTACACCTAACTCTTATTATTTTCTAAAATAAAAATAAAAAAAACTATGATATAATATGTTAACTATTCTAAAAAATGTTCAAACAACAACAGAATAGCACAAGAACAGGATTTCAAATGCATATATAGTATATACTAATGGTTATACTATTGGTAATACAGCCATAAGTTTATTAAGATATTAACACATTAATTAAATCAATATAATAAATTAGTTATGTTTCTCAAAAAGGTTTTAAGTAATACTTTATTTGAGTTATTTTGAAATATTATAATTCTCGATGCATATAATTTCAATTAATGTAAAAAATATTTTAAAAAATACACTCAGAATAAAGTCTTTAGTGATTAGTGTACACCAAAAGAATTGAAGTTATGGTTATGATTGTGTATCTTCGATGAAATGTTATTTTCTTTTTTTCTAGAATTTCATTCTTATAAATCTGCATAATTTACCACCTTATTAACAACCTTAAATGTTGCGTAATTAATTACAAATAATCTCGATCTGAAAGTCTTTCTTCTAAGATCTGATTATGTAGATATGTGAAAGATATCAATACGTTTTTATACTAAAAATATTTTTAAATATTTTTAATTTGTCCAACATAAAGAAATAAAATATTAAACATATTTATTTAATGAATTTAGTAATTATACATAGGTACAAGACATCATGTGTAGGCTAATTATACATTAATAATTTAATTTTGCTCAAGACATATGATAAACTTATTGTATTATATTACGTTTATGATACATTATAAGTAATAATAACTGAACTAGCTGTTAATTGGAAGAAAAAAAATTTTATATTCACTAGTATTTTTTAAAAGAGGGATATACAGCAAATCTATTTTTATTTTGTTACGATATTAATTCAATAACTAACGTTAACATTGAATACGAATAACAAAATTCAAAACAAGAATTTAATGTAGCTTATTTAAAAATATATTATAAAAAATGGGCATACATGTTACATGATGTATAAATGTGCCTAAAATTATCAATAATTAGACATATGTATAAACATAAACTAAGTATCTAAAAGATATTTGAAACATTCAAGGAAAACGAAATAAATAATTATAACGTAATCCCTACATTCATGAGATTTATTAAATTGTATCACATATGGTAATTAGTATAATATAATAATAGTTAAATAATTATTTCACCGGGCAAAACTGAACTACATTAAACAACCGGTCTACTGTCAATTAATATTTGGTAATGATAAAACATGGAGGGAAAAWTTACCTTCGATATTTYYGTATAAATACCCTACTGTCGATGATCATAATCACCAGTTACTTCTCTTCTGTTCGTTTGATTAAATCAAATAAACCAAACAACAAATCAAAAATGGCCGCTAAGGTAAGAAGATTGTAAATTGTCTACACTTTTAAACTTAATATTTTTCAATCGGTTTCGTTSAGTCGAATCGTATCGGTAATACGATATATGTTTGTATGTRCAATATTTTTTAAATTTTATTTTCAGATGATCATATTCGCTGCCTGTGTGGCCACCACACTCGCYCAATACGCCGCCCCGGCTTACCCGGCACCCGCTTACTCCGCACCCAAGGCATACGCCCCGGAACCCACATACGCCCCAAAACCCTACAGCTTCGAATACAGCGTAAACGACCCACACACCTACGATGTGCACAGCCAATCTGAGTCCAGCGACGGATACGGCAACGTCAAAGGAACTTACAGCCTTTTGGAAGCCGACGGTTCCACCCGCGTCGTCGACTACACCGCTGACTCTTACGGTTTCAACGCYGAAGTCAAGAAAATCGAAGGAGGATACAAGGCCCCATACAGCGCCCCAGCCCCAGCCTACAAAGCCGCCCCGGCCTAC